CGCGTTTTTTTCGAAATCATGTTTTCCGATCTAATTTCAAGCACTGGGCTCAATCTATACGTCCGATATCTTTTCTCTAAAAACTGTTTCAAAGTATATAGTTTTTTTGTACAATATGAGCTTAAGATCAGCATTAATAATAATTCATATATATATTTTTAACGCAATTGAAGTGGAAAAAGTTGCAAAAAATTTAACTTTATAGTTGCAATGAGCATAGGCACTGAATTTTTAGTTAAAATTGTTTCAATGGAAGTTCAGGACGTAGAAAATTTTTTGAGCTTTAAGTAATGATAACAATTTTTGATTTCAGTCTACTGCAAGCGGTGGTAAACTTGAAGTTTTTGGGCCATGTTTTTCGCCCAGAGGCCGACTGAAAACAATATTCTGTAGTCGTCATTTTGAATTTCGACTATTTTTTGCCATTTTAAAAACTCAAAAAATAAATAAATTTAATTAAAAAAACTTGAAGTCCATGCGCATGTCAATTCTCTCACATTACAACTTTGTCTGATTTGTTTCCAATAGGGCAAAGGGTTCCTTAATGAAGAGATTATATATTTTATTAGAATTTTGTGGTCTTTCTTATTTTGCCCAATTTTTATTCCAACTGCTATTGCCAAAAACGATAAAAAAAACTCTAATTACGAATAATGTTATTTACAGTCTTAAGTTTCTTCTTTTAATATAGTATTGATCCGTCTACTTGTTTGTATGTATATGTGGGCCGCATCTTTGCTGCTCAAAGTCTTTTACGAAAATCTCAATATGAATGCCTTAAAGGAAGCCAAAGGCACCAATTTGTTTTAGGCACGAATCATGCTTACATCCAAATCTTAACAATTTTTGTCAATTTCTCTCTAGCGAAGAAAATATTATTTACCTTTCGCGCAAATCGAGCTTGATTCCAGATCCCTAGCTCACTTCCATGAATCCAAAGTATTCCATTTAGGCACATCATCCAAAAATTCAATCAAAACAAATCATGATTATGTATATTTTTACAAAAAGATCGGTACAGTTTCCGAAAAATAATAATTTAAAATAAGAAGAACTAAATATTTTTCGATTTTTTCAAATCGGTCAGTCTCTGGTCCATATAGAATTTAAGAAAAGTCCATCTTTGCACCGAACCATAAATATGATTTATTTCCAACAAATCGGAACCTTGCTTACTTCCCGAACTCCTATTTTTCGTACAAATCTTTGAACGTACCGCTGAAGGAAACTGACATGGACACAGTATAACCTGGCGGGTACTTTCAGAGACCACTGGAAACAAACACGCAATCACACATTTTTCACAAGGCTGCCTAAAGCCTCAGCGGGGATTTTTCAACGCTAATTAAATGCAACATCTTGTAGCAGATAAGCTGCATACCGGAGACCCAAATAAGAATTCTAAAGATAAAAGTTTTTTTTGTTTACATAAAATATTTCTACTGAAATCTTTTTCAATACATTTGTAGATTAAGACATAAAAAATATATCTTTGAGTTCAACAAACTCTCCAAAGTCAACAAACCTGCAATGTTCATATCAAATGCCATTCATTTAGCTGCTATTAATTAATTAAATTTTCGTGAAGAATTGCAATTTGCAGATTATTTCATAAAAGGAAAATTTTTCAGGCAAATACTAAGTTATTCCGTTAATATAAGATATAAATATATGCATAATATCAAGTATTATTACAGCTCAAGGTCAATTGTTAAAACTGGTTCATTATTCGCTTCATACTGGAGCAGATCAAGAGCTTTTCACGAAGGTGGAGTTGTGTTAGTTTCATATCATTAGTGATAAAAAAAATTAAATTAAAAATTAAATTAAAAATTAAATTAAAATTTTTATACTACAAACAGAAGCAACCCATTTTGACTTCTTTAGAGACGAGAGGCAATGCAAATATCTTTTGAGACTTCAGAGCTATTTTATTCAGTTTGTAATAAGCTTACTTTACTTACTTACTTTACATACACCGCTTACGCGACTAATGCGATGACTGTTTGTTTGATGATAGGAGATATTTCGTCTTGTCCTCGTTCACTACCAGATCCATTCGCATCGCTTCTTTACCACGCCTGGAGAAAGCAGAACTAAAGGCGCGGCTGATGAAGCCGATAATGTCAATATCGTCGGCGTATGCCACTAGTAGTGCACTCTTATATAAGATTGTATCTTCTCTATTCAGCTCTGCAGCTTTTATTATTCCCTGAAGCATCAAATTGAAGAAATCACACGGCAATAAGTCACCCTGTCTGAAACCTCGTTTGGTATCGAACGGTTCGGAGAGGTCCTTCCTAAATCTGACTGCGCTTCTGGTGTTGTCTAGTGTCAGCTTACACAGCCGTATAAGTTTCGCGGGTATACCAAACTCAGACATAGCGGCATAGAGGCAGCTCCTATTCGTGCTGTCGAAGGCGGCTTTAAAATCGACGATGAGGTGGTGTGTGTCGATCCTCTTTTCACGTGTCTTTTCCAAGATTTGTCGCATGGTGAATAGCTGATGAATGGTTGAAACCACACTAAAAAGGTCCAATCAATTTGTGGACGGCGGGCTTCAGTCTTTCCTTAAAGGCGATATTAAGTAGTTTCATTCTCTCTTCGTAGTCGGCTTCATAGCTATCTGACATTAAAAGTGCTTCATCTTTTTCGTGCTGTCATCCTCTCATAAAAAATAACAACCACTTTTAAATAAAAAATGTATGGAGACTTTTAATATTATTTCAATATTTAAATGCCCAAAAACTCCAGAAATATATTATTATTGTATTTTCAATATTTGAGAGGGGATTTCATCAACTATTTGCTTTTCGTGATTGATGTGTTATTGTATATTACAACTTTAGTAAGTTGTAAGAAAGTACCAGAAGTGAAGAGTTTGTCTATCGGTTTAAGAGATATTTCAAGAACATTTTGCAAACAGACCGAATATTGTTTCAATAATTGTTTGCTCTGGTGGTGTGAATTAATTAATTTTACTATTTCACTATAAGTAGTTTAAGTTGATTAAATTTCTCAATAACTTTAAATTTGATCTAACCGCTAATTATATTGAGATTTGGAAATCTAGTCAGTTAGTTAGTTGAAGAGGTTGCTCGATCACGGAGCCCTGATCAAGCGCACTGGTATCTATGTTGGTGTTATAAGATGCTATCTCACTTTCCAATACCCTCAAACCATTTGGTGTATTTTATTATGTTTGACAGATCGAAAAAGAAATTTAATAGAAAGCGATAACTGATCGCACTGAGAGCGCCGCAGGGCTAGAAATAATTTTCCATCCTTTCCTGCTCATCCATCCACCTGTAGTTGCAAAATATATCGTTTGAGAAACAACCCTGTCTGGTTATTACGCCGATTTTATGCTTATTTATGTCCTGTGTAGAAGAAATAAGAATTTAGTTCTGTTCAGCTCGATCAAGTTGTTTTACACTGCCATCTACTGCTGGCCCATCTGTTGCAAACTACGTTTAAGGGATACTTTTCTGAGAAAATTGGTATACCCGCTTCACGTGCATGCGCTAAACTCAGCCTGGGACCCAAACCATGGACGTTTCGCATACAGTCGAGAAAATCTGAAAATCCTAGTACCAAAAACAAATGAAATGTTAATTTTTTCTAAATTTATTATTTAACTAATAAATAAAATTTAGCAATTTCTTTTCTTACTTTTGTCTGTTCAAAGCAGGCATTCTTTAAAAAAAAAAAAAAAAAAATTCATTACATACACTATTATTTTGCTCTCTCAAAGCAGAGCCTCTTAGATAAAAAGTAGTAGCAATTTTTTTTAATCCTCGAAGCAATTGAGTTATGCATATGAACCTTCGACTGTACGTCCACGAACATTAACTATACTCAACCTTCCTTAGTGAAAAGAGGATGGAAGCGAGGTTGCTGGGACACTCTTAGAAAATCGTGGGACGAAGTAATCAGAAACTTGTTCGAAACCGTTAAAAAATAAGTTTCTATAGAGATCCTGAGGTAGTTGGAACAATATTCTACGCCGCGGCGTCAACGTGTGGTGGCCAGCAAACCGAAAAAATTACTTTCTGCAGCAAACTAGAGAGAGTTCAGAGATTGGCTGCTGTTCTTGTAACAGCATCATTGCTAACTCTCCTCTACAATTATTTCACCACGAAAATCCCAAACGCAAATGTATGGTTCAAGGCTCGAGGAGTTCAGATTTCTAAAGTTCAAAAGTACCACAGCGGCCTTGAAATATAGAAGCAATATGAACAAACTCTCGACAAAATGGTATATTGCTGTAGTCTGGGCTCCTACACACAGTGATATCCCAGGTAATTGCATGGCAGACGAATTCGGCGAGAGAAAGAATCCTTCCGGTCACAATAAAGCATGCGGATGATGAAGGTTTACCCGTGACCACGGCAGAGTATATACTAAAGTAGCTCTTTGGTAAAGAATCAAACTCTATACTCGTATGAATGTGATCATGATTGTGATCACGTGCAACGTGGACAGACAGTTGTGGCCAAAATTGGAAACGACAAAATCAAAACCTATTACACTTCTAGACTGTTTCCCCATTAGCATAACGCCAGCCATAATAACAGTTCACTATTTAATGGGGCTTCACGCGAAAGGAACGAGCTACCAAGCAAATGCGTTTTCCTGCAGTTGTAGCGACTGAAGAAGAAGAGGTGGTGTCTATGGAGCACTACCTCGGTCAATGTCCAGCCTTGACATCTGCGCGACACAGGTTCTTCGCTAAACACTTCTTTCATCTATCTTCAACAAAAATTGTTAATCTCTTTTATAAGGCACACGAAATGTTTCGAACATTTGAGATGATGAAGACAGGAGACTTTCAGCGGTGTCAAAATCGCTTGACCAACAACCGTATCAACTCAACTTAACGCTCTTAGCCCACCGATAGATAAATACAAATATTTTAAATTTAAATCTTAGCATTATTTGCTAATTTATTTATTTTACTATTTATTTTTAATTTCGGAATTTTCGAAAATACCGCTTAAACAACGCATACACACATATATTCATTATTAAAGATTATTTATTGAATAGCTGACTTTTGACAAATAAATTCACGCTGAATACTGCACGACTCATCCTCCCAATCCAAAGTGCGTGGCGCCAACTGTACGCACTTCCTATTCGAATCTTCATCCGAGGGATAAGCCGAGCCCCAATTGGTGAAATTGAATTCAGTTGCCTGTTCGCCAACGCCCCAACGCCATGCGCCCTTTGTAAGTAGAGAATTGCCAGCAGTCCAAAAACGGGTATTCAAGATATCTACCGATAGAGAAAGATACCAAAATTTTCAATTAAATTAACTAAAAATTCAAAATATAATTATCAAAAATTCAATATTTATGTATTACCATAATAGCTGAGAAAGCCCAATAAATTCAAATGACTATAAATATCTTCGATTGCCATGAGTTGCCAGTTTTGACTCTTGCAAAATGTATTTGCTGCATACCAATTGAGCTGGAAATTTCGAGGGAAAATATTTAAATATAAATCGCTAAAAATCCATTATCCTTTATTTTACCTTCGCATTGCTGATGTGATAAAAGTCATCTAAAATATTGCCGCGTGGCTTGGACAGCATTGTGTCTAAAAAAGCAAATTGTATTCTTATTTGGTTAACCTTTTTTTCAATATGATTTATTTTTTATTTTATATTAATATACCAAGCAATGCTATGCGTCTGCTGGTGATGTCCGGCTGTGGTAGCAGTGCTGCGGCTTGGCAATCCTGCAGCAGCAAAAAGCAGCCTGCAAATGCAATCGTCAATATTGTGGCTAATTTGAGACTCATTTTTAATTTGATAATAGATTTGGAATACTTTAGAAAATGTTGATTGTGCTGCTTTTTATAGTAAATCACCTAAATACGTTTGGTCTCTTACAAATTATCTATTTCCTAACCAATTTCAAGTGTCAAATGAACGATAAGGCATACAATCGAAGGGATGTATAAATTACTGTTAAGTGTGTGTACATATGTTCTTTTATATGAATTGAAGAGCGCAATATAAGTTAGATAAATATGTATTTAAAAAAAATTATTTGAATTTAATTTACGTATTTTTTGTTTTTAGATTTAATTTTAATTGCGTATGAATTTTAGATTGTATTTACAAGAATGACCAATATGGAGAATTTAAAAGCCCTCAATTATATATATAGATACGTTCGGTTTTTTTTTTTTAAATAATTTTTCTAAATATGATAACTTGGTTTACATTGGTCCAATTTAAGTCAAATATGCGCTCTTAAACTTGTTGCCAAGGCGATGCCAATCATTATACCCCTCTCGTAGAAGGCTGCGTCCCTATTGGCAAAAAAACTCGAAGAGCCACACACATACAGGCCTCTCTTAAAGCCGACTTCTCACCATTAAGCGCGTTCGCCATGGACAGAAAAAGATGGTAATCACTTGGTGCCAGGTCCAGACTATAAGGTGGGTACATTAGAACCTTACTTCCGAGCTCCTGGAGCTTCTGGCGCGTCACCAAAGACGTGTGTGGCCTGGCGTTGTCCTGATGGCACACAATTCGGCCTCTGCTGATCAAAGGTGACCGCTTCTGGATGAGTGCTGCTTTCAAGCGGTCCAGTTGTTGGCACTAGAGGCCCAAATTTAGTGTTGGGCCATAGGGGAGCAGCTCGTAGTAGATGATTCCTTGCTAATCCTACCAAACACACAGCAAAACCTGGTGCATCTTTGACATCGAACGGAACCTAGCAAGCCACTTTTGTGCCACACGTTCGTTTACAGAATCGGGCCCATAAGCTTAATTAATTTTTTCAACCGCTTTGGCTGCTTTTTCGCCTTGATCGGAGAAAAATTGTAAAATATAGAGAATCTTTTCTTTGCTGGTGTCCATCTTTGACGAGCGCTCACAACGTATTGAACAAATCAAACATTTTTGTGGCTGCTACGTCGAGATCATACCAAGTGGCACTTATTGGAAGCCAGGCACATCAGCTAGTGAGTGTTTAACTTGAAAGACTACTGCAGAATTTTAGAACTCAACCGCTTGACAGGACCGCCTGTCGACAGTTTTTACATGCCTTTTATTCAGATAAGGTCTAGATATTGTAGTCGACTTAATTCCTTTGAGACTTACTCAACATATGCTCTGCATACAATTAATTCCAGCATGACTCTAATTACCTATGTGGACGCTCTCTCAAACTAATTCATCAAACGTCTCTATCTCTCTGGTCCGAATTTATCAAAACAGCCCGTTTCTTGGAGCTCGCGTTAGATGATCTAGTTGGCTTAGACCAGTTTTACCTGCTACTAAACGACAGACACAGCAGACCGAAAAAGTGCCGAGAATAGTAGGTTCTTCAGTAGAATTTGAAAACTAAATGTCTATTGAAACCCACTAAGAGCGTCTTGAAGGCACATAAAAGCACTGCTCTTGCCACGATATACAAATCGTGATTGTCAATTTTGACGGTTGTGTAGAGTCAGTTCATTCAGCTAATCATCATTTCATTGACAGTACAGGTTTCACTGTCCCCCCTGTTTGAGGGCCATGAGATGTTCCCAAAGCCTTTCTTTCGCAAACTCTTATTGTCGAATCATCGGATCTTGTCATCTTAGCAGCTCCTATACCATGCATCTGACTGCAGGACGCAAGATACATTTGCCACTCCTTGCGCTTGACCTTTGGTCATTGAGAGAGGACTTTGATCTTCAATTACGTACCCAAAAGTAAAACAAGTTTTTGGCAGAAAGATATGATTTCATGGGATTTCAAACTTGACATTGTGGTTGGTGCTAACGCTAGTTTCTATAATGAATAAATTGTCTACAGCTGTCGGCACTGACGAGGCACCCACCCCAAAATCATTTCTGGCGAGTGGCTAATTCTCTAACTGTTTGTTATATGACAGCAGATATCTCGTCTTGTCCTCGTTCACCACCCCATCTATTAGTTGTGATCCTTTCTTATTAGGGAGGAAATATAATGGGAGGCTGTTGGGCCAATGATATCAATATCTGCAGCATAAGCCATCGGCTTTTCGCTTTTATTGAAAATTGTCGATTGAACCATGTGTAGATCTCCCCGAAAGTGGAAAGAATTTCACCTGAGAAATGCCAGAAACAACTCTTTGGCATATGATTCCAGCGGACAACGACTTCCAGTCTAAGCGAAGTATCCTCCGAATAACCAATCAACTTTCGTATGGAAGTAAGCAAAGGTGTACGTAGCCCATCATATGAAAAAAGTCTGCTTCGCTTTAACAAAAAGTAAACAAAAGTCGGGCTAATAACACATAAATCAGTTAGCTGAAAACACAAATTAAACAAGCACTTTAATTAAATGAAATAAAATTTATAATACGCAAAAACAAAGCGATATCTATATTTGTATAAATATAATAAATAAAATAAATAAAAATAAAATAAAATAAAAAAACATCTCGTGTGTGCATTGGATTTCTATGTATTGCTAAGCCATTCAGTGATATAAAAAGCAATCACTGTAACTTCACAACCAAAAGAAACAAACCTTTCAAGCACAAAGCAATGGCGAAATTTATGAAAATTACTATACTCTTGGTGATCGCACTGGCGACGATCGTCGTTTGTATAGAAGAAAGCGGCATCGAGGGCAGAGGTCCTGTTTTGGACAAAGTCTACTTTTTGGGTGTGGAGAAGGTGTGTTGCTCTAACGCAGGGAACAATTTATGCTTTCTGAATATCTAAACAAAAATCTCTTGCCATTTTCACAGTTATCCTGGTATGCGGCAAGCTTTTATTGTGAGAAAAGCGGTTGGAAATTGGTGACCATTGAGAGTACGCGCGATCAAGCCAATCTCATGCAGTTTTTGAGTTATTATAGTAAGTGATTTTTTAAAAAATATATAGAAAATAATAGCACATAAATTTTCTTTATTTTCTAGACATTAACGACAGAGGCTATTGGTCAGCTGGCAATAGATTAAGCAACGACGTGGATTGGCGTTGGGGCTTTGAAAGTGAAGAAATGAATTACACAAATTGGCAAAATACTGATCAGCAATGTCAATGTGTGGATACTAGTGACTGCGTAAAACTCGTGGAAAGGAATCTGCGTTGGAAGGGCGAAGACTGTTTTGCGGAACTTGATTTTATTTGTCAAAAGAATATATAAATATACGTGACCTTATAATGAAATAATATTTAAATAAATAAAAATTCATATAACAAAAATATGGCGGTCCTCCATACCTTAAAGTTGGGCATTATTTCGAAAATCTTCAAGATCCTAGTGGCTCACGGCATAAAATTTAATAAACAAAAAATACCTACGGCTTCCGTAAGTGTTTAATGTCAAACGCAAATATCACTGGAAATTTTCCAGTCCATTCTCGTCATATGAGCTCACTGCAAGAGAAAATAAGAGATGTTCCTCGTTTAAAAAAATGGAGTTCATTTATAAAGCTATCCACTTTGGGTTTCCGAAAATTAAAGTCAAATGCATTGAAAATAGCTATTTTCCATGAAACTCCTCCTTTATTATAATGTTTAAACCTTGTGAGAAACTATATCATTCAATCATTCAATATTTGCGTCTTCAATGAATTAAGGACCTCGGAACCAAAGCGCAGACAGAATTGATTGATTGTAATAACCTCTATTCAATAACAATAATAACTTGATAGTTTTCGAAGCCCTAGATGGGACAAATCGCTTATTTGCGTATGCCTCGAGTGAGAAATGTGCTTCATTGCTGAAGACAGTTTTTTTTTTCGAAAAATGACCGACCACTGCTTACTGTACAAGCAACCAATGGATATATGTAGGCAGTCTGAATAGATGAATTAGATTCAGTTATTCTGGGAGCTGATTTTTGTATGCATTTAGGCGTAAATCCAAGTTCAAAATACGACACAATGTGCCGAAAGAAAATCCCAGCTCTTGAAAACGTCAATAAACAGACACTTTCGGGTCTTCGATAGTGCAACAGGCCTATTAAAATCAGTATCTGATCCATTATCTTCCAATTTATTTCAAATGGAACCAACTGCTTGTTGGCTAGGTTTATTCCAACATTTTTAATAGGGTTTAACAACTTTAACGCCTTGTGCGGTTGTTAACCAATCGATTTCTATAAATGCCTGACTTTTAGTTAAAACTAAACTTTTATGGTTTGACAGTTAAGTTTGATAGTTGAGAAGATAGAGCCGTTACTTTTGAAACCACGATCTGGATATATATGTATATGTAATTGGTGCCTTCTGCCGAGCTCATCTTCCAATTTTTGATTTGCGTATAAAGGGTTTTCTAACCTGAGATGAACCTATGCCTGGAAATTACAATTTTTAGCAAATATAATAAGCTCTTTAACCCGATTTAGGTCTCACTATATGGATTTACTGAGTTGATTTCATTGTCTTCTTGTTAAATTTAGGTATTTTGATATGTCCTTACAAGCTATAATCATATTAAAGTTGAAGAAAACTATGATGACTTGCTTGAAATTATTTTGTACTGAACCCTGTAGCAGATCCTGATGAAGATGAATAAGAATATTCATTTTGAAATTTTGATTAAAGAACGCTTAAATGCCGTCGTGGTGTAGTACTATTGGATTGTGTCCACTGCAACGGCGTCGCCTTCCATCATTCTCTTAAGTGATTTGAATCGAAGGAGTGGCAATGTTATCTTGTGAAATGCTGTAAAGAGAAGCGAGTTATGTGAAACTCGTATCTCCTTACTCTTCATATCTTCTTGTGTTTCTTTGACTGCAAAACCGTAAAATATTTTCAGAATTATTTCAAAGCCTAGACGAAATCTCTATGCTATAAAAAGACTTTACCGCTTTCTAGAATCCTCATCGTTGTCGTCGTTATGTTCACAAAACTTATACGGTTGTGTAAACTGAAAATAAATATTTAATAATACCAAAACCCCGCCGAATTGGATCTCTCCGAGGCGATATTAAATGAGATTTTATGTATAGTGACTCTTAATCAGATAAGTTCTTTGAATAGAACTACAACTAAAGGGAGGGAGCAATCTTCTGTAAGAACGTATATCATGATATTGATATTATTGGCATAAGCAACCCCAAATTGGACAAGAAGCAAAGCAAATGGCTATAGCGGTGAACAAAAAATAACGTCAAATGTCTCCTGTCATCAAGCAAACAGTCAGTGCACTTTAAACTTGGCTCCCAAGCCACTGTTAACAGTCATTGAGATTGTAAAAAATCAATTTTGAAATCCAAATCCTCCTTTGGACGGGGTATTATTGGGCGTATGCATTAATTCGTGCGGTTTTTTTCGAAAATTAATACTTTATTGTGAAAAAATTGTTATACATTATCCCATCGGAATCAAGAACTTCTCCGGCTTGGAGGTGAAGAAAGAATCGAGCCAATTTCTGATACCCTGTTCTAAAGTGAAGCGTACTGCGGTGAGTAATCGGAAGGTGCTATCTCTGGGCCATAAGGCGGGTGAGGTAGAACTTCCCACTCACAGTTTTCCAAACAGTTTTTAACTTTTCGCAAGTTTTTCTTGCGTCTGGTATGCATCTGCTTCGAACAATGTCTCCAATTCTTCGTCTTGAATTTTTTTTGGCTGTCCGGGTCGTTTTCCGTCGTCTAAGTCGAAATCGCCTCTTTTAAACCGTGCAAACCACTTTTGACACGTATGTTTAGCTAAAGCATGGCCACCATAAACGTCCAGTAAAATACGATGGCTTTCGGTAGCACTTTTCTTCATGTTAAAGTAATGAAGTCCTCTTCACTTCTCGCAAAACACTTTATCTGGCACATATTTCGACATATTCGAATGAATGAAACAAATTGTTGTTCACGCTAAAACATCTACTGAAACGACGCGAAATAACAGTATATTTGAAAAGAATATAGCCACAGATGAACACGACGTGAAATAATACTAGTAGAGTCCTCTCTTAGAAAACCGCACGAATTAATGTATAGACCCAAAAAAGTAAAATATTCTCGATATAAGAAGACAAGATTCTAGAGTATGATGTGAAACATTTTTCCGATATGAGAAATGATACCACGATGAAAATATTGTGGAACTAGGAGGTTTTGGAGAAGTCTTTTGGCAGCAGGATTTAAGGTCTCGTAGACGATAAATCGATGATATGGTATTTGGTTCAGAAAACGAAAAGACGGCGGCGGCGTTCGGTAGGATGACTTCCACACTATTGGAAGGATCCGGTAGAGCATGGTTTAGGAACTAACGCGCTATGGTTGGTTTGTCTACAATCCTTTCAGCCTACTATGTATATCAAAATATAAACTCTCGCGAACGCCGATTTACCTCAGTGTAGTTCCACAGGAAAAAATGAAAAAACCAATTCATTAATATTCTATTAAAATAAGTACGATTTATTGACATTTAAAGCTATCAATGAGGGGTTGAATACCAATACATACATAAATGGAGTTTTATGTATGTATAAAAATAATCTTTTAAAACATTTAATTTTAGATTTAAGTATATAGGTATATGTGTGCCTATGTATTTAAATAATGCTGAATATAAGAATTATGGTCGCTGGTCTGTTGGTTCGCAAATTTCGCTAATTTTGCTGATTTCGCTAGTATGTCTGCTGTGGAAGCCGTCTTTAGATAAGTGAGCACGTTTTTAGCGGAACATTGGCTTAAATTCCATCAAAATATGATAATAAGCATCACCGTTAGTTTTCCGATTTCGTTGTTAGTAAATAAAAAGGTGATGGAAAACTTCCAGTGGCTCTCAAATATTTAAAGCTTTTGGTCTTGACACCTACAAAAATCAAGGAATTTTGTAGTGCTGAGATTCAAAATAAAATAAATATAATAAATAAAAAAAATTAACAAATTTCTATTCGGTTATCTTTTGTTGTCAATTTATTTTTGGTTTCCAATTCGCAGACAAAATTCCCATGCCTTATCTCAAAAGTCTAGGCAACAATTGAAGTTCATGGATATTTGAATTGGTGCACTACAATTCTTTAATTAGATTGTAATTAGATTAGATACGAAATTTTTTTTCTTACTGAGTAGCTATCTAATTGTATTTAAGATATATATAATACATATATATTTATTTATATATACATATATACAATATTTTACGTTCGCATAAAAGGCAGTAAAAGCTTCTTGATAATTTAATTCAATCTTAACAATGTCACCGAAAGAAAGTTTAATTGTACTCGCATTGCTGTCCACAAGCGTACAGGGTGCTGTCAATTCTAGTAATATAATTATGGGCGATATCATAAAGCCGCAAGCTATTTTTAACGTAACAGGTGGGAAATAAGAAATAATAAATAATTTTTTTTTTTAAATATTTAACGATGAAATTAACTAAAATAAATAAATATTTTTATATATTATATATTATCTACATGGAATTGTGTAAAAATAAATTTTAATTCTTAAATTAGTTTTAAACATTTATATAAATGGTACAACGGAGCAGCAGCAGCAGCAGCAGTCAGTAGAGTGGCCAGTTAAGGAATATTTTCTTGTCAAACATACTAAGGTTTGTGTTTTTTATAATAAAATAATTTTTTGTTTGCTTATTTATTTTAATTTTTTTTGTTTGTTTTTAAAATTAAAATTTTTATTGCTATTTTTCTACATTTTTCTTCCGACAGCTCGATTGGTATGGCGCCGCTTATTATTGCAAACACGCAGACGCACGTCTGGTGCAAATTGAGTCAAATGAAGAAAAGAGAAAACTTAAAGAATTTTTAAAGCAAAACAGTGGGTTATATATATATTTCTAAATAAAGGGGCAGCCATTTCGTGGTTTCAAAAATACAGTGATCTATTTGGGGAACTGTTAAGCTTAGGTGTCACATCAAATATGTTTTGCTTTAGCTTAAAGTCAGGCACAAGTTGTTGAAAGTTGTTGAACCCTACAACAAAAATGGTGACTCAAACGTGGCCATGTTTCCTGCCTAAACACGATCGTACAGTTATTCAAGCATTTGGTAAAATTTTGTGAAATTTTAAATTTGAAAGGACTGGAACGTTTACAGGTTTTCTAAGATCCGCGTATGATCATTTTCATCGTTCCAGCTAAACCAAAAGCGAAAGTGTACCCGATAACCCGAATATGTCTTCTCGACAATCTGAAAAGCTGGAACTTTCCTAAGGCTCTTTACGGTGTGTTTTACTTAGACTTACGCCATATAAAGTTCAGCTTAACCAACCACTGAAGACAACTGACCACTCACAACGACATGCATACGTCCATTGGCTGTTTGAACTGCAATTAGTGGAGGGCCATTTTTGGAATAAAATTTTCTTCAGAGACAATGCACCTTTTTCACTCGAGGGAATTTGTCGCACGCTGGACTCTAAGAATTCTTAGATATTTGGAAAATTTGAAAAAACTTACCGTCTAGTGCACTCCTTGGTTCGGAGTTGTGATTGGAATTTCCAATTTTTTTAAAGCCAGAACGGCGGGACTGTCACCACCAATTCGGAGCCTTGTGGTCGTTTTGATAATACCTTGGCCTCAGGAAATATGTGCCTTTAACAAAATAGTGGTACATGCCACACAACGTCTACGAATATGACTGTTTTATGGAGAAATTCACCGGCAGCGCAATCTCTCGTCTTGGCGATGTCAATTGACTGGCGAGATCGTTCGATTTGACACCGTTGGACCTTTTTTTGTGAGATAGCCGCTGAGCGACCACCAGAAAAAAACACTAAACGTATCAAAGTTTATACAAATTCAAACTAGAGAGGCGGTCATTTGAATGATGCTATAATGTCAAAGTTCAAATTTTATAACAAAAAAGGAATTTTATAAAACAATTATTTTATATGCAATTTATTTATGTTTATTTTCGAAACCGCGAAATGGATTACCCTCTACATAACCTAAAATCTGTTTCTTATAGTTCTAAATGTTATTCCCATAATTTTCTAGAAGCTGCTACTAAGAGTTATTGGACCGCCGGCAACACTATAGAGGACTCATACTTCTGGCGTTGGGGCATTGGTGGCGTACAAATAACCTTTACAGACTGGGCGAAATCAGAGCCGCAAATAAAAGGGGACGAAGCATGTCTACTCTTGAAGGAGCAGAGTCTGCAATGGTCAGCTGTTAATTGCACTACAACAAACTATGCAATCTGTGAGCGCAAAACCGATAGGCAACGAACGATTATTGGAAGAATTTTGACACAGTTGCGAGGCTTAGAAGCAAATCAAATAAATGTCTATTGACTTTTTAAAAAAAAATAGTGTAAATAAAGTGAAGCATTTTTAATTGGGTAGAATTTTTTTGCTTATTTTATTTTTTATCTGTGGTTGTAGATTAAGTCCTTTGGCACTCGGAAGTTTTCTTTCCCATCCACAAAATTCTGATGGATATTTTTTTAACACGCCGTAAATTGAAAATGCATTAAAATTGTGTTACTTGAAAAAAAAACGGTTTCAAGTCTGCGCAGCCACATTTCGCGGTGCATTTTAATTTACGCAATTTTCGCTAAATTACATTTATAAACCGCTAATTGAATTAAAAGCGAGTAAAAAGCGGTGAGCAGAGCTTTACGCAAAGAGTTATGCATATGAGCTACATACTTACATGTATGTACATATGTATATATATTCTCCATAGTATTTATATCATACATACATATATGTGTAGGAGGAGCAGCATAAATATGCCACTCCCACGTTGACCACCTGAATTGATTGCTGAATGCACCACAACAAGAACAATAAGGTGAGTGGTTTATTAAATAAATTTATATACATACGTGTACATACAAACGTATAAGCTTGCATGTGCATGCACTTTGGCATGTATAAATTTCATATTTACCGGTTAAAAGCTTGCAGCTAATGTTATTTGTTGCTGTAATTAAATTCAATTCTCATAAACTGCATGGGGCGGACTACAGTTATGTCTGAGTTATGCCTGAAATCCTTTTAAAAGCCGCACAATAAACATTTGCATGCATACTTTTACACAGGTATGTATATATATATAGATATATATATGTGTGTGCATGTATGTGTAAATGCACTCCGTTGCACTTAATTTACGGCAAATAAACGTTGCTTAAGTGTATGCGTGTGCCTCTCTGCCTCTTTATCACTGTGTATGCATGTTTGTGTGCCTATAACTGTATTTTTATTACGTGGCCTGCCCCTTATGTGCTGCCACTGCACTTCAAGCAACACGGATAATCCTTTCAGTGCTACCGCTTTATTGTCAAAGGATCTACTCAATGCAGCTCTGCGGTGAGTGAATTATAAACAAATTGCACTCAAATCAATCGTTTAAATTCAAATGAAACTTGTGGTAAATTTTAGGCCCAGGGACTACGCGGAGTAGTTATTTAATGTATTCAAAGAATGAGTGTCTTAAAAATACAACTACAACTACAATGTGCAATATAATAATAAATCAAAGAAAAATTTAACAAAAAAATGTAAAGGCGAACAGAACGCAAATCGACCGTCCGGTGCAAGAAGAGTTGGAACTTTTGCATATAAGTTTTTTTTAGTTAAAGAGGCGTACTATCTCATTATCTTGTGATAAATATTAGGTCAAGTAAAAAGTTCGTTCGGTTTTTTTTTATTGATTTTTCAAAATACGATAACTTTGTGTACATTTGTCCGATTTAAGTCAAATAAGCGCTGTTTTGTTCGCACACTTGTTGTCAACGAGATACCAACTTTACTATACCCCTCTCATAGAAGGATGCATCCCTATTGGCAAAAAACTCAGAGAGCCACACACATACAGGCCTCTCTTGAGGTCAATTTCTCACCATTAAACGCGTTCGTCATGGACAGGAAAAGATGGTAGTCATTTGGTGCCAGATCCGGACTATAAGGTGGGTGCATTAGAACCTCACATTCGAGCTCTTGGAGCTTCTGGTGCGTCACCAAAGACGTGTGTGGCCTGGCGTTGTACTGATGGTACACAATTCGGCCTCCGCTGATCAAAGATGACCGTTTTTGGATGAGTGCACCAGAGGACCGAATTGAGCGCTTGGCCATAGAGTAGCACCTCGTAGTAGATGATTCCTTGCCAATCCCACCAAATACACAGCAAAACCTGGTGCATCTTTGACATCGAACGGAACCTAGCAAACCACTTTTGTGCTACACGTTCGTTTACAATATCGGGCACATGAACTAAATTAATTTTTTCAACCGCTTTGGCTGCTTTTTCGCCTTGGTCGAAGAAAAATTATAAAATCTAGCGAATTTTCTCGTTGCTGGTTTCCATCTTTGACGAGCGCTCACAACGTACCGAGTCAATCAATCAAAAAACTGCCAAAGACAAACTTTTAGCGCGAATAAACACGTCAGTCAGCGCCATTTAATATGACTTGATGCAACCCTAGTACTGTGGACAATAACACCATCTCTTACATGAAAACCGAACGAACTTCTTACTTGTGCTGAATAGAAGTATATTTTTTTACAGACGTATACACCGATTTCCCAATTATATCAGAGTTAACAAGAACACGTCATTCATTTTTTTCGCTGTTTGGCACCAATGGGAAAACCAAGTACAGCCAGGTTTTTCTCTACCTGGTCTTTAAAACAGAGCCTAGACTTGCCTCTTCATATACTTCAACCGGTGGGTACTGCATCAAACACTTTCAAAACACACACATGACCTTACCAGGATAGCCGCTGCCGCTTAATTCGCAAAGTTCAGCGAATGCAGGCTAACGTTGTTGTTGGTGTTAATACTGGTTCCGAGATAGACGAAATTATTATCAACTTAATTTTATGACTATCAACAGTGTTTGGCTGCTGCTTTTCGACTTTGAGTCTTCCTTCTGTTTGTTGATGGGGCTTCTTCGCTGCAAAGAAGCGAGTGTATATCCTCGCTGCCGCCAGATAGCGGTTAGAGCCGATGTTGGGTTCTCGGAGCGTAACATACTACAAGAACACTAGAGGCATGTCGTCAGTCTATCACAACATGATCATGATCTTGCTGAAAGTTTTTCGATACGGAGTCATGTACGTAGATAACTTGATAAATTTTCTTGTGCTTGAATCTAGTGCTACAGACAATGATATTTCGGGACCCAGCGAAGTCGATCAGCCTCAACTCATTTGACCATTTGGGGATTTTTCGTGGTGGGGCGAAAATTTCCGACATTCTTTGCCCACATCGGCACTAGAGTCGCTCCGCTTTGATGCGTAATGTGGCGAGACGTTCATCCAGCGGGGTGATTGCCGGAAAAATCGGTTTTATCCTTCCTCGCTGGCTTTGCACGGACTCTTGGCGGTCTTGACGGGCCCTCAGTATCTACATACACTATTTCTTCTTGATCCGCCTTGCAGCTCTTTCGTCAAACTCTTCGTATAGAGTTATTATCGGTGCCATACGGGTCGCCCTTTTTGCAATGTTTTTATTTTCATTTATTTAATGAACACGCCCTCCGACGGCAAGGGCTAACAATAAGTAATGAGCCCATTAGCAAGGAGTGGGTTCCTGGTTTAGTGTTGCTCTTTACAAGGGTAGGAAATCTCTGCTATTCAGCTGCAATTGACTTGATGGGGAGGCCAAAGTGTTGCGATTCTATGATAACGCATATTGTTAGAAGCCTATAGCCTGCACCATGGTGCGATCGTTATTATTCTTAACGTCTTCTTGGAATAGAAGTTTGGAATCTTTGTATTATCTCTATATAAGGCGCTCTGGCTGTGGCCCTTAACTGTAACTCGATGTATGGAGTTCCTTTTTATAATAGCATTATTAAGAACAACTTTGTTTTGAAGGCTGACCCCCGATTTCCAGCACCCACACCGTCAGCCATTTTTGATTCTATGGTATATATTTTGAAAGTGTTATATGCATGCTGCACGTCGGAGCACCTAAGGAACGGACCTAAAGACCTGAATAGATCTGTGATCTGAGTCTCCCCCAAATAAAAGTCTTATCTGAGTTCATGTTGAATTTTATATCTGGAATAATGGCGAGAATATTCCATGTGGAATCAACCAATTAAGGTTGAAGTGCTGGGTAACCGTGGATGGCATGAAATGCATACATAACTTAGTATCTGGACGCGGGTTCCCGAACTATTCGTGTAGACTCTCTGGTAATCTAGAATTTTATTTATTTTATTTAAACACGGATTGGATAGAATGAACATTGATATGTAAGAACCCTTACTGCAGAAAGCCGATAGACATGGTTTGTCTACAACAAATTTCGCCTAGTAGGTCGGCGTTTTGATCTAGTGGTTGTATTAGATCAATGTTATTATTGTTGAGACGGTTCTTTTTCGCAGTATGTTTGGACGAGCCCAGGCAATGATAGCCAGTAGTCGACGAGTAGATGACCAGTTGTTGTAGAAAGTACGGATATCTGAATGATAGCGATAACGCTTTATACATATATAATATTGGATGCAGTAGCTGCTGGTCGAGGCAATGGAAGTGGAAGACTTCTGCTCCGTAGGAAGTATCAGGTGGAGGTGGTCTCACTTGGTTTTTTCAGCTAGCACCCAGTAGCGAAAGGAAAGAATGGATGGATAGCGCGCCATGTGTGGACTCCGCTTAAATTGCGTAAGAACTTGAAGGAATGAAGATGATTTTCCAAAATGCTCCAATCCAAATCCACACAGCAGCCAAAGAAAGGATGCTTATTTAGAAAAAGCTACTCATCTTCATCTTTATTTCATTTGTATTTAGATTAAAAGAAATATAATAATAACTTAAAATTTTTTTTAGCTTTTACCGAGAAGCATTTGAAAGCCCCCCGCCCCAGGAATATTGTTTGATTTCTCTGTTAGCATCCTAAATAACCAAACATACATATGTATGTACATGTGTACGCATACATATGTACTAAACACATCCTTCATTGCTCTAATTCTCCAACAACTGTTGTCATTTATCCTACAGGAACATGCCAAAGCATGTTAAGACGGCTTTTCGAAATAAACTCATACTCATTCCGGCACATATTCCCTCCGCTTGATTTCACTTGATAAATGTGCGTCATTTAAACCCACTCACACAGCCAAACACACATAATATTTCACTTAGTAGAACGCTTAAACGAATAACCGGTCAGAGATCAGAAAACACATGTGGTGCGCTGGAAGAAGGCATCCCTACAGCTGATGCGTGTACACGGCACGGTGCACGACAGCAAAGTCGGAAGATCATGCAGCATAGAAACAATAAACATATTACTCTTTAAGTGTGTGTAAGAGGATGGGTTTGAGATAAGTAGTAGAGTAGCTCACATGC